ATGATGAATAAAAATCTGTTGCAATCAACATGGTTAGGGCAATCAGATCACCTCGGTTATTTTTGCTTTTTTTTTTTTTAAGATTTATTTTATTTTTATTGGAAAGGCAGATATACAGAGAACGGGAGGCAGAGAGGAAGATCTTCTGTCCGTTGATTCACTCCCCAAGTGGCTGCAATGGCTGGAGCTGTGCTGAACCGAAGCCAGGAACCAGAAACTTCCTCCAGGTCTCCCACGCGGGTGCAGGGTCCCTAGGCTTTGGGCCGTCCTCCACTGCTTTCCCAGGCAACAGGCAGGGAGCTGGAAGGGAAGTGGAGCTGTTGGGATTAGAACCTGCACCCATGTGGGATCTCGGCACGTTCAAGGCGAGAACTTTAGCCACTAGACCATGCCACCGGGCCCTGGTTCACTCTTCAAATGGCCACAACCATCAGAGCTGAGCTGATCCAAAGCCAGGAGCTTCTTCTGGGTCTCTCACGCGGGTCCCAAGGTCCCAAGAACCCAGACCATCCTCCATGACTTCCTCAGGCCATATAAGCGAGGGGGAGCTGGATCAGAAGTGGAGCCGCTGGGACTTGAGCCGGTGCCCGTGTGGATGCCAGGGCCACAGGGTGAAAGATTAGCCTGACATGCCACCATGTCAGCTCCTGGCATAGTTGTTGATAGCATGCACCGGTGTTAGACATAGCCCTAGTTTCAACATCAATTCTCTTTCTTAAGATTTATTTTTGTTTGAAAGTCTGAGTTACACACACACAGAGGGGGAGATCTTCCATCCGCTGGTTTGCTCCCCACCATGGCTGCAACGCACAGAGCCAAGCTCCAGGAGCTTCTTCTGGGTCTTCCCTGTAGGTACAGGAGCCCAAAGCCTTGGGCCGTCCTCCACTCATTTGCCAAGCCACAAGCAGGGCTGTGGATCAAACCAGCGCCCTTGTGGGATGCTGGCATCCTAAGCAGGAGGACCAGTCTGATACACTGGGCCCTGTGCCCCCTCACTTCTTTTCTACTTGACTTGTTGATTAGCCTTGATCTCTATCTTTCCGATTCTCCTCCCAGCCCTTGCTAGCGCCTCGCCCTAGTTCCATCTCTGTGGATTCAAATTGAAGTTAAAGAAAAAAAAAAAAACCAGCAGAAGGTTCCAGAAATCAGTGACCTAAGTGAGAGGGTGTGCATCATTCAGTTTCCCGGCTCATCGTACCTGACACAGGGTCCTAACGCAAGACGTTGAGGCAGATCTCAGAAGTCCCTCTGTCCTGCTCTGAAAAGGAACCCGGTGTAGACACATCTCATTTTTTTTTTTTTAGATTTATTTACTTATTTATTGGAAAGTCAGATATATACAGAGAGGAGGAGAGACAGAGAGGAAGATCTGCCATCCGATGATTCACTCCCCAAGTGAGCCGCAACGGCCGATGCTATGCCGATCTGAAGCCAGGAGCCAGGAACTTCTTCCGGGTCTCCCACACGCGGGTGCAGGGTCCTAAAGCTTTGGGCCGTCCTCCACTGCTTTCCCAGGCCACAAGCAGGGAACTGGATGGGAAGTGGAGCTGCCGGGATTACAACCGGCGCCCCTATGGGATCCTGGTGCGTTCAAGGCGAGGACTTTAGCCCCAAGGCCACGCTGCCGGACCCGACAGATCTCATTTCTTTACCTGTCCTCCATCAGTGGGCATGGAGGTAGGTTCCCTGTCTTGGCTGCCGTGAGTGGTGCTGTCACCCACATGCGGCTGGCTTCGTAGGCAACAGTGATGCTGCTTCCTCTTTTTTTATTAAAAAAAAATCATTTTTATTTAGGAGAATCAAGATGGTGGAGTAGGGTAAGGACACGTTTAAACAGGCAGAGAAACCTCAGCCAGGGTGAAGCAGAGAGGGCACATTCCAGGAAATAGGAGAGGAGAGAACAACAGCAGAGGGGTACCTGGAGACTGACAGACACGGGAAAGCAGCGGGCACAGCGGTGTGATGTTGCAGTGACTGATACCCCAGTGGCATTCAGCTAGTGGTGATCAGAATTGTACCGGCAGCTGGAACTCCACCAGCAAGCAGGTTCCACCCAGGATAGGTCCGGGTAGCCCTCAGACCTGACGGCCAGCAGATCAAGAACTCTAGCAGTGGCACATCGGGCACCATTCTGTACAGCATGGAAAGACTTTAAGACCGCAGGGACAACAGTGAGCCGCGCATGCGCTCAGCTGGGCGTGAACTCACGGGGCTCAGTGCATTGCGCTGGTCCCACAGGGAAAATAATACCGACTGTAGCAGCGTGGCCTTGGGGCTAAAGTTCCCTAATCCTGGGACTTGCTCCAACCGGAAGTGGGAGAAAGGTTGTACAGACAACGGTGCAGCCTCAGCACAGCATCACAGGAGGTGGAGAGTGGTGAGCCAAGAGCTGGGGCTACAGAGACCATGGCGGAAATCTAACATAAGAACCCAGACCTGGAACTCACTGGAAAGAGTGGTACAAGTGACTGCAAACAGAGAGCCAGGTGTCAACCACAATACCAGGTCAGATAGAAAGTATTTCCAGGGGCCCTTGTTGTGGTGCAGTGAGCTCAGGTGGCGCGTGCCATGCCAACACCCCCTGTCGGAGTGCTGGGTTGGGTCTCAGCTGCTCCATGTCTGATCCAGCTCCCTGCCAACGCGTCTGGGGAAGCAGCAGCAGACGGCCCAAGAAGCGGGGACGCCTCACACCCCGATGCGGGAGACCCGGATGGAGCTTGGCCTCCTGGCTACGGCTTGGATAAGCTGCAGTCAATGATGGGTTCAGCCTCCTGGGTGCTGAGAGGAGGAAGGGTGGGGGGCTTCAGTCCAGCTCGGAAAGGTGTGCAATGGATTAGTCATGTCTGCCACGGGCACCGGGATGGAGGGAGCGACATCCATGCCCGCATCTGTGATGCTGCAGTTGGGTGTTCTCCAAGATCCCTTATAGCCTCGACAGGGCGTGGTTGGTTGTATGGGAGGGACACCCTGGAGGATGTTCTAGGACTGGCCAAGCATGTCAAATGGAGCTGTTGGGGTGTGAAAGCATGCATGGCCCGGGGTTTTACAAATGTCCGACGCATCTGGCTTGATGGCCGAAGTTCGGAGTGAGACTTTCGATTCTGTGCTCGTGACAGACACAGCTGGCGGGGGGCGGGGGGGAGGGTGCAGCTGGCCATTGCGGGGAAGATAGGAAACCCCAACAGGCTCCTGGTTTCAACCCAGAGAGAAGATTCTAACACGTTCTTTCCAAGCTTGCGGACTCTTTATTCAACCCTCCATCCGCTGCTGCTCATGATCCAGTGACCCCAGGCTTGGATCCCAAATCCGGGGACGGGATCCATCACACGTCGTGACAGGTGTGGGAGCTGATGCGGAGAGGGCAGAGAGAGAGAGAGAGAGAGAGAGAGAGAGGAGACCCTGGCTTGGGGAGATGGGGAGATGAGAGAGGCGTTGAGTTTGTCAGGGAGTAAGAAGCCAGCATGGGGGGCTAGGTGTGCACAGCAGGGAGCCCCTGAGTCTCCCCGGGGTGTTCCAAGGAGATGACGGTCGGGCAGGACAGGTAAGGGCTGAGTTGGGCAGGTGGAAAGAGGCTGGGGAGAGAGGTTGGATGCAGAGATGTAGATCTGAGAGGATAAAGGTTCCACAAGGGGGACCACAGAAATGCATGTCACACTGGCTGGGCATGGTGGTCTGGGGTGTGCGTGTGAAGGGTGAAGGAAGAAATTGCAAAATGATACCCCCCAACCCATCCTCTCCTCTCCTGCGCCATCCCCAACAGGAATCCGAGGTTGAAAACTCCAGGGAGTGTTCGGGGGAGGGACTGAAAAGGAAGGAGTTGTCTTGGCCGTGTGGTTTCTATGGTGACAGGTGTGGCTTCAGGTGGCTTGAATGGTAAGAGGCCATCAACGTGGTCTCTCTGGTCCACCTCCCAGCCTGGTGCCGAAACTCCACAGTGGGGAGCTTGGCTGGAGTTCCCGCGAGAACGAATGCCTCCAGGGACTTTTCTTGAACAGCAAGAAGTTTTGTTTTTTGTTTTTTTTTTTTTTTTTTAGATGGACCACGTCTTAGCAGAGAGCAGGGAAGGAAGCTGGGGCTCTGGGAGGTCCAGCCTGGACCCCCTGTGTGATGTCTGAGACGAGACTTGACATTCTGAGCTTCCACTATCCCCAGGCAGACCCCAGGGGATGGCCTGTGGCACCAGCACACTTCGGATTGGTTGGGGGCTGGACATGTGAGCAGGTGCAAGGGGTGGGTTTTCTGGGAGAGAGGGCAGTGGCCAGGGTTTTGTATGTGTGTGTACGGGTGTTAGGAGAAAAAGAGCCAGGGCGAGAGGGGACAGGGGGTGGTTGGGTTCTCCAGCGAGGACATGAAGCTCTCTTCTGTAGGGGCAGGTGTCCAGGCATCTGATGTTTCCACAGAAGAGAGGCCTTGGGGAGGGAGGGAGGGGAAGAGGGAGAGAGAGAGAGAGAGAGAGAGAGAAAGAGAGATGGATGGAGGGGGAGGTGATAAAAGGGTTCTAGCATCACAGAATCCGCAGTGTCCAGGAGGGACTCACTTGGGCAAGGGAATGGTGTGGGCGCAGGAAGAGGTGCTAACTCCGGGTGAGACACAGCAGCCAGTAAGGTGAGACCGTGTCAGAAGGTGGTACGATGGCTTTGCTCAGTCGTGGAAAATCTGGAGTTTTACGTGGTTCCCTTCGTGTAGGTGATTCCCCAGGGCAGAGATGGGGGGTGGATTCGGGAGGGAAGGCGGGTGATAGACACAGGGACTGCGGGAGGTGGTGTCGGCATGGCTGTGACGCCCTGTGCCTACGTCAGGCTGACTCCCCTCTAAGAAGGAGAGTGACAGGTCGAGGGCACGTGGGAGTTGCAGGGTGATGGATGGACTGGGCACCGCTGAGCCCGGCGAAGGCGAGGCACTCGGGGAGTGATGGAGGTGGGGGGGGGCATCTGTGAAGCAAGGAGAACCTGTGGGACCATGGCTGCTCCCTGCCCTTCTCCTCCTCCGCCCCGCCCCCACTACTGCAGGTAGAGTCGCTTCCGGAGGGTGCTTTGGATCTCAGGGTTCACTTTTCTGGCCTTTCCTTCCTGGATCAGCTCTGCTTCAGCCATCCGCCGGGTCACCTGCAGCAACAGGTGGGAGAACAGGGGGTGGTGGGTGCCCAGGCGGGAGTGTCTATGGAATCATTGACAGAAGGGCGCATTCTCTCTCTCTCTCTCTCTCTCTCTCTCTCTCCCTTCCAGGTCATGGTACAAACACACAAATCTCAGAAAAGCAAAATCTGCCCCACTGTTGGTGACAGCAGCCAAGGCATTTATTTCTAGAAGTTTCCATTAAAAAACAAAAAAAAACCAACTCACTTCCTGTGGGCCTTGGGTCCCTGGGAGACGGACATGCTACTCCAAGTTGGATTGGGGGTACAAGCGGTGGAGAAAGGGAAGGGAAGGGGGTGTATCTTGGGATGCCACTCACTCCACGCTTGGCCTGCAACCGTTTCCCCCCCCTCCCCGGGGGGGGCCTTGTCTGGACTCACCTCGGTCAGAAGCTCCAGGATGGGGCCTTTCCTGTTGATGAACACGTCGGTTAGGGTCTGGATGAAGTAAGAGCCTTCCTGGTCGTGTCTGTAGGCGATGTAACCTGGGAAAAGGGGACGCAGAGATGGATTCGGAGTGGGTGGGTCGGGGAGCTGCAGGCTGTGGAGGGTTCAAGGGTTGGGACTGGGAAAAAACAGCTTGAGAGCCCGGGAACTGTGGGTGAGCGGCGGCAAGCAGCTGAGGACAGCTGGGAGCTCCCACCTTCCACTGTGGAATAGATGTGCAGAGCATCTGTGTAGGTGGGGATGGTTTGGGGGCTGTCTCTGGCGATGGCCATCAGCTGGTCTTCACCCACCGTCTCACCGAGGTCCCTGTGTTCTGAACAGAAAGAGCTAAGGTTAGCGAGGAAGACGTGGACCCGGGCTAAGGCACAGGGCAGTCTTGGGGGGTGGGGGTGGGGGTGGAGTGGCCAGGGCAGGAGGACGTGGGCTCTGTGCTGTGGTCTCTGCTCCCACCTCCTCGACAGGCCTGGATAATATACACCTTGGGTTTGGCCCTCAGAGCCTTGCAGTTCTTGTTGTTGAGGACCTCAAAGAGGCCCTCCAGCTTGACCATCTGCCCGTCTTCTCCCTTGAGGACGCCTTCCTCCCCGTGCGCCATCAGGACCACAAAGGCACAGCTGACGGGACCTTCCCAGGTGTCCAGGGTCTGTTGGAACTTCTCCAACTCTTCCTGGAATTGCTGGGACGAGAGGGAAGAGCAGATTCAGGGGAGAGCCCTGGGCCCAAACCCAAACCCTTGCCCTACAACTACTGTGCTGCGTACCTGGGCAGTGGGGTCCCTCTTCACCGTGCTCTTGAACCCCAGTTGCTGGAACATATTCTCTAAGGCGTCCAGGTCTACCTCAGAGCCCTCCCGGGCTTTGGTAACGCACAAAGTCAAGGCCAGTCGGGCACCTGACATGTCATATCTCTCCTAGACCAAGGAGAATTAGATCAGCCAAGGAAAGGTCATCGTAGGGAGCTGCAAACACCCTTCCAGAAGGCCCGAGGGTGAGGGCGCCAGGTGAGACGGAGGAGGCGCAGGTAAAAATTCTAATAAAAAACCTCAGAATTTCAATGAAAAAGTAGTCCCCAGTATTACACGGATTCACACTCGAAAGTTATTTATCGTTGATGTAAAGTTCAACTTAATTAGGCAGGGTCCTTTCTTTTGAACTTTCTAACCCCACCTTTCAACTGTTTCCGTCCAGTGTGGACTTGGTTGAGCCCCCAATCCTTTCTGAGTCCCTATTTCCAAATACAGGCGAAGAGCATAAATGAGATTTTTGGAAATCTCTGCCACAGGGCATGGTTGATGCCTCTCTCTCTCTCTCTCCCTCTCTTTCTCTCTCTCTCTCTCCATCCTTTCTGAGCATTCTTCCATGACTTCCTCCCTTGGAGAGATCTTCCCATTTCTGAAGCCAAGGCTGAGCCTCCATCGATGGCATCTGAGACAGACAGATGGTGGAGTCGTAAGATCTCTTGCTGGGAAGGGACCGGATACAACGGTGTTGGGGAACATGGCCCTTGTTGATGGCTCTCTCACTTTGGGTCTAGCTCTGCTTTTTTTTCTGGCCATCTGGTTGGACACAAAGCGCCTTCTGGCTCTGAGGACAAATCGTGATTGATCGCTGCCACATTCTACAAGAAACACACAGCATCTCATCTCTCTATTCCTGCCCCCATGCCCAACTCACCTCCTGCAGTGGCCGAGGGTTACTCATTTCTCCTTCAGTCCCAAGTGCAAGAGCTTGGCACTCTTTTCTGATCCTGGTGATGAGAAGACAGAATGGAGATTTCCGAGGCGACGTTGAGAGGTTTGGAGGACAGTTTCTAGATTGATAGCATTTCCCCATCTCCCTGCCTCCCCCCCTTTTTTTTTTTGCATTTTTTCCTCAACCTAGAATGCTTCTTAACCAGTTAACATCCTTCCGTGAGTATTTGTGTGATCTAGTCTGACACATTTTCCCGTCAGCCATTCATCTATTTTCTGCCCATCCATCAACCTAATCATCCATCCCTTCACACATTTATATATCAACTCACTTGCCGTACACATTTATCCATCCATTTATCCATCCATCCATCCATCCATCCACCCATCCGTCCACCCATCCGTCCACCCATCCATCTATCCATCCATCCATCCATCCACCCATCCATCCATCCACACACCCACCCATCCATCCATCCATCTATCCACACACCCATCCATCCATCCACCCACCCATCCATCCATCCATCCATCCATCCATCCATCCATCCATCCATCCATCCATCCATCCATCCACACACCCACCCATCCATCCATCCATCTATCCACACACCCATCCATCCATGCAACCATTCATCTGCCCAGCCAGCCAGCCAGCCAGCCAGCCAGCCAACCTCCCACACACCCAACCACCCAACTGATCCATGCACTTATCAATCTAACTATTCCTACACCCATCAACCTGTTTTACTCCCATCATTTCAACTTTCCATCTATCCAATAGTCCTTCTAACTAATCATCCATGCCTCTACCTGTCTGCTTACTCATCCACCCACATACTATTTTTACCTACCCAGCAAATACATTCTGGGTATCTCTTACGTGTCACATGCCTGGGTGCACACTCCCTGTGCACATGTAGCTCTAATCTATGACACATAAACATGATCTCTTCTATTCCTCTCTGTCACACACACACACACACACACACACACACACACACACACACACACACACAGAACCAGTGCTATGAGGAAAGGAGAGGAACCGACAAGAGCACAGTTCTGGAACCAGATCAACCGGAATCAAGTCCTACTTTTGTCCCACCCAAAAAGATGACCTTGGGCATCTCATCCCCTTGTCAGACCAAATGTTCTCGTCTTAAAAGGGCCCGAGAGGAGCACTGAATTCTGTGGACAGCACTGGCGAGGCAAGGTAGGTCTTGTAACCCTCACTCACCACCTGAGAGTCACTTCTTTCTTTGTCCTCCCCCGGCTCTGCCTGTATAAGCTTGCTTCACAGCCATGCCTCTTCTTCTCATGACAGACCCGATAGCTCAATTTCCAAGACCAAAAGCCCTACCCTCTTTTTTTTTTTTTTCTGCCGACACTTTGGGAGTAGACACAGGGATGGTATGGGGGAGCAAAATTTGTTGGAGAAACAAATGCAGGATATCTTGGGTGGGTGGATGGACATTTTTTTTAGTTCTGCATAAAGTGGCCAGAGTATCCATTTATGGAGGGTGGAAAAGAGAGAGAGAGTGAGCGATCGAGTGAGCGAGCTAATTGCTGCCAAATCCTTACCAGCGGTAGAAGTAGTTGTCGCTTAAGGCCAAGCGCAGTCTCCCCAGGATTGTCACTCACCTGGCTTACAGCTCAGGGCTGGGCACCAAAGAGCTCCTCCTTGCACGGATCTCAAGAAGAAGTGGTTGACAGCGTAGGACCTTGGCAGGTCTCTCCCAAGAGGCCCGTCTCCGGATTAGGCGGCTCAGCTGTCTGCCCCTTTATGGCCAGCGAGTTTTCTGTCGCTCAAGCTACTTCAGGAACAAGGACGACACACCCTTGGCACCCAGCCCTGGTGTGGAAATAGAGCCAGTACCTATGGAGTAAGTGGTGGCTCAGTGTTCACCTGTGGTCAGAGCGGCTGAGATAAAGCATCTAAATGGTGCCAGCCCCAACCACAAGGTCCCCCGCTTCCACCCTGGTTCTTGCTCACCTGGTTACCACCACCCGTCCTTCCCATTACCAAACCCACAGTGTCCATTTCCCTCCGTCGTGTAGAGAATACCGACCTCACTTGCCTATTATCTCATCGGATCATTGGCAGCCTGGGTGACAAACATCATCACCTCCAGCCTGCAGGTGGGGAAACTGAGGCTCGCCGAGTTGGAAACTATTGTCCAAGTTGAAGAACCAGTTATTGGCACAATTGTTGTTCCAATCCCAGGAGGATCTGATGCAGCTGAAGCTTCGTGTCCTGCCTCGGCCGCTCTCCTCTTCTCCATTCTTTTCCAGAATTTTGTTCCATGATTCTATTTCACGCTAATGACTTCAGCAAAGGATAATTCGCATTGCATGAGACGCACCGGTTTCCAGCGTCTCATTCAACGATGTTAGCGTATTCACGATGTTGCCACCCTACCGAAGTCCAGTCCCCCCGAAGAAACTCTATGCCCTTTTCATCTGTCACCTCCTGATCACTTCCCAGCTCTAGGCACCCACCAGTCAGCCTTCTGTCTCTACGGATTTCTCTGCTCTGAACATTTCACAGGAATGGAACCACAGGACATAGGCTCTCCCGAATGTGACCTGGGTCTTTTATGGTGTCTTCAAGGTTCGTGCCCGCGATAGCAGGTGCATGAACCACTCTTCCTCGTGGCCAAATCATACCCCGTGCTGTGGTCTTTATGGCCGACCTTGTGCTTGTCCTGTGGAAGAGCCCTCGGAGTGTTTGCACCTGTTCAAAAGCTGTTGCTGTTTGTGCGCAAGTCTCCATCGGGCCCGCAAGAGTAGAACGCTCCCACGTCATCGTCTGGCGCAACTGGATCATTCCTCTCTTGGAAGGCTCCTTCTGCACCCCGACCAACACAAGCCCGGGGAACCTGCCTTCAGTTCCTGGCTCAGAATGGACGCAGTTTGTTGGTGGCCTCCACCAGCCCATTATTCTGTGACGGGCTTGCCTCACTCGGCGGCACGCAGGGTCGTCTTTCCCCAGCAGGACAGACGAGAACAGAATCCTGGCTTGGCGATCTTCGAACAGCCTTTTTATTGTGAGTGCAGCTTCATGGATTTTCACAAACTCCACGCACCGCCGATGCAGGGCGTGAAAGTGAGCGGCTGGCTGACGTTCCCCTCGCGCTTACCCTCTGCCTACCGCTGCGTGCTCTCGCTTCTCCACGTGTGATGCCCACAGATGATTACCGTATTGATTTTCTCCTGCTTTCTGCCATCTCAGATGGAACCCTGGGATAGGCTCTGTGTGTGTGTGTGTGTGTGTGTGTGTGTGTGTGTGTGTGTGTGTGTGTGTGTGTGTGTTGCGGCTTCTTTAGGTCGATGTTTGTGAGAGTCAACGGCTTTTAGTTTGGCTTGAAGATCCCAAGTCTTACCTCTTTGAGGTTGTGTTTCATTTCACCAGAATGTAGTCCCCATCCCCTTTAAAACAAACAAAAAAAGATTTATTTGTTTGTATTGCAAAGTCAGATCTACAGAGAGGAGGAGAGACAGAGAGGAAGATCTTCTGTCTGATGGTTCACTCCCCGAGTGGCCGCAATGGCCGGAGCTGCTCCAATCTGAGGCCAGGAGCCAGGAGCCTCTTCTGGGTCTCCCACGCGGGTGCACGGTCCCGAGGCTTTGGGCCGTCCTCCACTGCTTTCCCAGGTCACAGGCAGGGAGCTGGATGGGAAGTGGAGCTGCTGGGATTAGAACCGGCACCCCTATGGGATCCTGGTATGTGCAAGGTGAGGACTTGAGCCACCAGGCTACTATGATAGACCCTTCATTGAAATTTCATGCCATAGATCACAGATACACTTAATTTTATCTATCTATCTATCTATCTATCTATCTATCTATCTATCAATCATCTGTCTTCTATGAATTATCTGCCTACCCATCCATTTTTCTGTCATCGTTTATCCATCTGCCCATCCATCTTCCTTTTTCAAAAGTTTTATGTATTTTTATTTGAAATGCAGATCTTACAGAGAGAGAAGGAAAGACAGAGAGAGCGAGCAAGCGAGAGATCTTCCATCTGTTGGTCCATTCTCCAAATGGCCACAATGACCAGAGCCGCGTTGATCTGAAGCCAGAAGCCAGGAGTTTCTTCCGGGTCTCCCACGTGAGTACAGGGTCCCAAGGCTTTGGACTGTCCTATGATGCTTTCTTAGGTCACAAGCAGGGAGCTGGATGGGAAGCGGAGCCGGGAAGTGTAAGGTGCGTGCCAGACGCACGCAAGGGGAAGACTTTAGCCACTAGGCTACTGTGCTGGGTTTGTCTCTCATTTTATCTGGATCAGCTCAGCGGCACCTCCGGGTTTGATCGGGCATCCAACATTTCCTAGAACAAATGTGCATTTTGTCACTCCCCTGCTGCCGTGTGTCTCTGTTTGCTCCCTGACCAATGACGTCAGCTTGGGCGGCTTTGCACGGGGACCCGAGGGGGCCGTTTCGGGAGGATAACGGCTCTAGAAGTAGAGATATTCCTTGCTAGGGCACAGACATTAGCAGGCTGCCAAGGGGTGGTCCTGGTCCCTGGCTTCTACTCTAGCCTAGTCCTGGACTGTTGCACAGATTTAAGAATATGAATTTCCAGGGGATAGAAGGTCTCCGTCTGTCGGTGTCTGACTTTCAAACAAATGAAGAACGCTTTCAAAGAAGAACACGCATCTTCATTGAAAAATAACACCAGAATGTAGAAAGATGTGAAGTAGGGCTTAAGCCAATTTCTCGCCTCCCCTACATAGCACCTGCTGAAGCTGTGTTGTGTCTGTTCTTTGGGCCCCCTTGAGATCGCAGGATCTGAGAAGGGGCAATGAGATCTAGGTGTTGGGAGGATGAGACGCAGGTCCAGCACCTGGCCTTCTCGAGAGAAACGCACCCAAAATCAATCCCTCTCCCCAAGTCTCAGCAGAGTAACAGAAAGCAAGCGACTTCACCTGTAGCCTTTGCCGTCACATCCGCAGACCACATCTTCGTTCGTGGATACTGACCTTGAGTTCTTCTAGTTATTGTG